GGCTGCTGGAACCTCTGAGTTTACTGAGCCTATGCTGAGATGGTTTGTTCTTCTTTTGGATTTTTCTGTGGTCACTTTTTTTCCTTTTCCTTCCCCTTGCTTTCTTTTTTAATTCCTTTTTTTAAGTATCTAGATCTTACTGAAACAATAGTTCTTCAGTGCTTTTTCATCCCTTTAGCCTCTAGTATATCCATTCTCTTGTTCTTCTTCTTAAACTTCATTGATGGCCATTTTCCTCTCTTTATTTTTAGATTTTTTCCTGTGAATTTCCAGACTATGAAAGCAATGTTCTTTTAAAGAGCTGTTCAGCCCTGGATTTTCTAGGTACAAATGACCATTCCTTACATGTACATGCACACACATGTATATACAGATACAGGACTCAATCTCTTATCACAGAATCACAGAAAGTCGGGGTTGGAAGGGACCTCTGTGGGTCATCTAGTCCAACCCTCCTGCCGAAGCAGGGTCACCTAGAGCAGGCTGCACAGGACCTTGTCCAGGCGGGTCTTGAATATCTCCAGAGAAGGAGACTCCACAACCTCCCTGGGCAGCCTGTTCCAGTGCTCCGTCACCCTCAGAGGGAAGAAGTTCTTCCTCATGTTCAGATGGAACTTCCTATTTATTTTCTCAAAGCTTTCATAGTTCTGTCATTTTTAGTCCACATCCAGAGGGTGAGGGACATTATCTCATATATACACATTGCACATCTCCAAATGTAGATATTACTTAGGATGGGTTAAAAGCATGGGCAAATAATGAAACATTCACAAACACCAGTTTTCACTTTGCTTGCTTTGGTAGATAAATTCTTGGCTTAAAACTTGATTGTCCTAAGTCCACCTCATTCACTGCCAAAGGTTGCTTTTGTCGAAGAGCTGGCAGAAAGGAAGGGCTGCTTGTGCCTGGGGCATAATGCAAAGCCTCATGTATGTGGGCACAGTATTGACGTGCAATTCTCTAGTTTAAATGCTGGCTTAACCAGTCTCTTATTACTTGTTCCCACTGGATTGTGACAAACTGTATTGCCACATTTATGAACCGTATCAGGGAATTAATCTGATTGAAAATCTTTCCCCCCTGTTATTTTTCAGCCTGATAGTTCACCATGGAGCCACAAGAACAGCTGTGTTGGTACAACAGTTCACAGGGCGGGATGACTTAGCAAGAGTGGAACTGATTAAGAAACATCCCATCACTGCGTAAAACTTGAATCACACATGAAGCTGAAATGCTAGATTAACTGTGGTGTCGCTGTATGTGGTTCTGTCTGTTGACTTCAAGGAGAGTGGTAAATTCTGGCAGGAGTGTGGGAGGAACTGCTGAGAATGGTCATATGGTAAATTACTGCAGCAAAATTTGCCAAAAGGTCATCGCTTTCATTTTGGGCCCTCTGTTGAGTTTCCGGGCAAGGCTGAAAGAATGATGTACGTGGGCTGCACCAACCAATGGAGCAACAGAAATTAGTGGGCTCTTTCTTAATTAAATGCAAACTGACTAAGGGCCCTGAGCTCAGTGCTTTCATAATGTTAAAACTCATTAAAATGGTAGAGCTAAGGAAGTGGATAAAATGGTAAATAGGAGTTTGATAAGGCAGTAGAAGTGTAGATGCATCTTGACAAAATACAGCTAAGGAAAGGAAGTTAAGGAAAAAACGCGTTACAAGTTTTGGGTCTTGCTCTCCTAGATTCCAGTAGCTGGAATCCTGTTAGCACTGCCAGTGGCAAGTTTGATTCATACTGGAAGCTTGGGCTGAGCAAAGAGGCTCCTCTGGATCAGTCGCACAACAGAAATGCACCTGAGAATACCTTTATCTAAAAGAAAAAAAATAAGCTACCTATCCCAAATATAGTTTAATTAATAAATTGGAAATTTTAATAGTCTGGTATCTGGTTCTAGAAAATGTAGAGATCGTGTTTTCTTTCTAGTAATTCAGCTGGTCTGTAGCACTCCCATCTCTCAAAGCCTATTTTAACCTGGGTAGCTGGGGCAAACCGCTTGGCATCCTCTAGAGTGTACTTGTTGCTGACTGAAACATGCCGAGCGAGATGACGTTGCTTACAACTATTTGATATAAATTATTCACGGGGGGAGTTTGCAATCGCTGCCGGGGATGGATGATCATCTTGTCCCGGCTGTTCTGGGGTTAGGTTGGGTTTACTGCGTAGTAACTCTTTCCTTCGCTGCAGCATTGGACAGGTCCCTGGAGTGCCTCTGCGCCTTCCTTCGGTTTGGTATTCCAGTGAAAGGTAACAGCGGTCATGCTTTCCAGAGACCAAAGAAACTGAGGATTTCAGCAGAGAAGACACAGAAGTGTGGGACGCAGCTGCTGCGGTAGCGGGTATGTGACCCCGGGTGTGTGGTTCTCGCAAATGGTGCACATGGTGCCTGCATGCTCTTGCTCAGACACGAAGACCGGGGTGGTGGCAGAGACTGCAGCACCGTGTAAGAGGAGGGTGTCTGTACATGTTCGCTGCAGATTGGATGTTTCTGGACTGTGCTAAGATGAGCTTGGGGCTTTTACCTGTGTTGGCAACAAGATTTTTCTCAGAGGGTGACAAAGTTTTGGATAGACAAAGAGTGCCTGTGTGGGAATTGTACTATCTGTGACAAAATAACAAGCTAGTGCCAGATAAGTCACGTATGGACAAGCTATGCATGTCTGAAAACCTGTCGCCTCCTCTATTGCGTTGTTTTTATCACACTGCAAACAGAACAGTAATATAAAATGTGTTTCATAAGCCTGACATAAGTTGAGCAATTCTAATACACGCTATATGACTGAGATTATGTATGGACTGCAGCTACGCAAGTTGGTTCATGTCATCTTTTTCCAGCATATATATGGTGTTCCTTTCCAAGATCCATCTAAGGTCTTATTAACACACTAAACAGTGTTTAAGATTTGTATGAAGAAATCAGCTTATGGTCACTTCTGTACAACGCAGTGAATCAGAGGGGTATGTATTTGTTGCATTAAGAGCTTGTTTAAAAAAAAAAAAGTAACCTGCATCTCCATTTTCTTTTTGAAGTTTTGCTTCATCTTGCAGTGAGATGGGCCCTGCTTGTATTGGTACTGTCAAAACATGAAGGTTGTCTAGACGTGTTTTCCCAATTTGAAGGCTGCTTAGTTTTTGAAAGTTTGGAGAGGCCTTTTATACCAGTTACGCGTGTTGAATCTTATGTAGGGAGGTTTCTTCAGGAGTTCTAAACAATTATTATTTGCTGAAACTAACAGAGTAATTACATTAGTTTGAAGAAAAATTGTCTTAATCAGATATGGAGTACTTGATACCTTTCTCTGACATACATCTGTTAGCTGTATGTCAAGAGATTACAACTTGTCAAGTTACAGTCAAAGAGAATATAGAAGTCAAAGAGATGATGAGTTTTTAACGAGTCATTTCTTGGGGAGGAGAGGTAAAGCAGCCGTGCCTTGGCTTTCTCTTTCACGTGCCTTCAGTTCCCCGTGATCCAAACCTTTGTCCCAGTGACCTCCGTGCCTGCCCGCGCGACGCGGAGCCTCTCCTTATGTGGCTTTTGCTGTCGTGGGTACGCCGGGTTTAAAGATCCAGCAGCGTCAGACTGTTATCCCACATAATACCCTTTTGTTATTCATAGTACAACTTTTTATAAGAGGGGCCAAACAGAAGTGCAAAGGGGAAAATATTTTCTATGTATTTTTTGCTTTTTCTTTTCCTGCTCTAATTAAATGAGGAGTTAAAACTAATCAACTAACGCTTCTAATTAAATCGGGGTTTAAGTTAAATTCTACTGATAGTAGTTTGGGATTGAGCATCCTGAATTTTATTGCTTAACTGAGAATTTTCCTGGTTGTTCCTGTTTGAAAACAACC